TCAGAAATTTCAGAAATCGTCTGAAATAAATAAATACATTTCAGAAATAAAAAATAAATTTTAAAATTGGCCCTTAAAAATTCTAATGAATGCTTTACTTTGTGATTACACGTTTTTAAAATGTGAATTCATACCTTCAAGACAACAGATCAATATATCAGTGCATGCAGCTACTCTTTAGAAAGGATTAACAAATGATTTTAAAACATTCAAACCGTATAGCATTTTTTAAAGTTTTGAAAGTGTCTCCCAGAGTGGGATCCGCGGCCCACCATGGGTGTACTGCAGAGGGGCCGCGAGAGGTCATCAAAAAAAAAAATGTTTTAGATCATTATTGTATGTTAAATTAACAATATTTTGTTTGTAATATTACAATATTTGTGTTCATTATTTGACTTGAATCATCAAATTGTAAGCATTTGTGTATTACAAAGTGGGGATGGTCATTTACATGTTTGCAGCAGAGGCTGTATCCCCCAAATAAAATAACGAGAAGAGCCTATTTTTAACGTTCTCTTCTTGGTTATTCTTTCGGGGGGCCGCGCAGACCCGTTAGATTTTTAAGGGGGGCCCCGGTCTTACTGACTTTGGGAATGGCTGCTCCATAACATTAAACGTTATTGTCATGAGTGATATGTTGTCAAAATCTGCTGCAGGGATCTACACAGCCCGGTCAGAGGAGTGTCCAGCACTTGGAGACAACAATGCTGGAGTCTCTCTGATGAAGAATGGACAAAAGACATTCACAGGCTATGATCACCAGACCTCTGGTAAAGGCTCTGCAACCAACTTCATCACCTGCTGCTGGAGGGAGGAGATCAGACGTCTGTCAGTTTGTGGAGTCACAGTCGTATTTTTAAAAACAATAATCACTAAAACACGCTGTTCACTATGAAAAATATGATTGACTGCGTTAAGGTGTTTTTGTATGTAATATTTTTCATTATTATTCACTGCTCAATAGGGGACTGAACTAGGCCTCATTAACCCCAGTTTACACATTCATACATGCATACCATCTTTGTGAGGATTATTTTTATGGTTTCAGACATACTGTGTTCAGGCCAACTCAATTTATTTTTGTATGCCCCTAAATTATAACAGCAGTTATGATTATGTATTTTACTGAATAACACTAAATTGAAATGAAATTTGACATAACAACATACGTTATGATGTAAGTAAATAATGTTTGTTGCTTAAATTAAGGAATTTATTAATGGGGGCTTTCAAGACAACGACCCTAAACACTGCTCAAAATCTACAGAGGCATTCAGAGGAACAAGTACATCCATCTGGAGTGGCCGTCGCAGTCCCCAGATACGACCATTATTTAAAATGTGCCGTGTGATTTAAAACAGGCTATCCATGCTCGGAACCCACCAAACCTGACTGGACAAGAGATGATCCACAAAGAAGAATGGTTCAAAATGCCTTCCACTAGAATTCATACTCTAGTTGGAAGTGGAAGCATGTAGAGGATGTTATATCTGCAAAAGTAGAATGTACAAAATGTCGTTCATTTTTTCTTTGTGGTGCCTTAATATATAAACATGCCTAATTTGGTTTAGATCATTCTAGAACACTGTATGGAAATAAAAATATCACTGTGTTTGTGTCCTATATGATATATTTAACGTAAATGTCTTAAACAACCAAAAAGTGCCCAAACTTTTGCGTACCACTGTATGCACTGTATGCGGACGACACCACCCTCATTGGTCTTATCTCCGACAAAATGAGTCCGCATATAGGAGGGAGGTGGACCGGCTGGTGTCCTGGTGCAGTGGTAAAACCTAGAGTTAAACGCCCAGAAGACGGTAGAGATGATTGCCGACTTCAGGAAGAGCACAGTCCCCCCTCCCCCACCCTCCCTGATGGACTCCTCCATCACCTCTGTGGAGTTCTGGAGTTCATTTCCTGGGCACCACCATCACCCAGGACCTCAAGTGGGAGCTGACCATCAGCTCCCTAATCAATAAGGCCCAGCTGCCTTCACAGATGTTGATGCAGTGCTACATGGCCATCATCGAGTCCATCCTCACCTCCTCCATCACCGTGTGGTTCGCTGGAGCCACTGCCAGGGACAAACAGAGACTACAGCGCATTGTGCGCTCGGCAGAGAAGGTGATTGACCGCAGCCTCCCATCATTGCAGGACCTCTACAACGCCTGAGCTTGCGGGTGGGCTGGTCGTATCACTGCTAACCCCTCTCACCCCGCACACGGACTATTCCAACCACTCCAGGAGACAACAGTCCATCAGGACCAGAACCTCCCGCCATAAGAACAGTTTCTTCCCCTCTGCTGCTGGACTCATGACCATCACTGACCTCTGACCTTATGACCGTCCCTTTATGCTACTGTCACTTTACTGCACTCTTAACGGTCACTTGAATATAGTAAACTGAAGAAATTGATGTAGGTTTTCATTTATGCATGCCTTTTTTATTTTATTCTGCTTTAACTTGTTGGCACCGAGAGCCAAAGCAATGTCCTAGTTTGTGACTTCTTACTCACATGGCAATAAAAGGATTCTGATTCTGATATATATCTAAACCCGTGTTAATGAGGCCCAGTTCAGTCCTGTATAAATCTATGTGTACTAAGCAGAAATGATAAACAGACAGGAACTCCTGACACACACTTTAATGCAGTTGACCAGATCTCACATATTGAACAGCAAATGACCACTGAACGTGTTGTAGTGATCACCATTATCGTAAATACGTCTGTTGCTCCACAAACTGACATACATCTGATCTCCTCCATTCAGCAGCAGTGTGATGGAGTTGGCTGCAGAGGCAGTACTAGAGGACTGGGACTCTTTCTGAGAGGCTGTGTATGTCCTATGTTCATTCTTCATCAGAGAGACTTGATTCAGATTCAGATTCAGATTCATTTATTTTCCATTTGCAGTAAAACCACATAGGAAAAACTGTGCAAGACTACCCCTGTGTGCACCAGACAACACACACCAGAGCTCTTGCCACGGCGCCATCTTTACGGCGCCATGCGACAAACAGTAGAATAAACAGCAGAGAGCAATAACACACAGTTTCACAGACAATTGGTAAGACACATTGTGCTTTGTATAAACCACGGGTTTTTTTCTCGGGATGAGCACCTCCGACTGCCGGCCCAATGTGGCTGTCAGAGGGGGGCGGGGTCAGGGAGGGGGTGAGTTGGAAACACAATGAGGAGTGGAGGGGAGGGAGGGAGCAAGATGATAGGTAGAGGGAGGCGGGGGGAGCGGGATCCGAGCTGGAGACTGAAATAGTGTGAGTTGTTGTAGATGGGGACCTTGTTTATGGCCTTGGCCGAGGAATGTGTGATAAGAGTGGAGAGAAGACACAGCAGGAGAAAAACACATCGCCTGAGGGGGACAATATTGTATGCAATGTAGCAGTCAAAAGCAGGCAGATATTCTATTAAATCCAATTAAACCGAATTGCGGCGCCCTCAGACCTCCATACACAGGGGCAAATCCAAGCCGGGTCAGAGAGTTCAAGCCTGACACACGATGTCATTCAATCTCATCTCCAATGTTTTAATGTTTTATGCCCTTCGAGTGAACGAGCTGCGAGGTCTTTTATCAACTGTTCGACCAACACAACTCTCCTTTGTCCAGACACGGCACTCTCAACCACGACGCGGCTTAGCTCCTTGTACATCCCATCAATTTTGTCGGCCAGCAGCTCCTGAATCTTTCGAACTGCCATGCCTCCGAATTTGCGGTAGAAAAGGACCGCTCCAAACCCAAATAGGAGGATCCCCACCACCAAAATGCCAAAGATATATACGTCTTCCGAATCTTCAATAGACAGGGTCGACAGACAGAGGGGCTGAAACTTGTTCCAGCTGTCAAGAGTATACCCCGCAGGTGAAGTCCCGTCCGGACACACGGGCTCTCCAGACCCACGCTTACGTGTTGAAAAGATAGAATCAATTGCGTTGAGGGACCAGTTAATCATTTCCATTCTTGTTAAAGTTGTCTGTGGCAAAACTCCAGGAAAAAGACAAAAACAGGAGATAGCAAGCAGTCAGAAGCAGGAGCGGTCTGAGACACGTCTTTGCTCGACGGAGGCGGAAACTACATAGTTTTTCATCCTTGTAAAATTTGCATAAGGACCATGGTCGTTCCTGTAAATAGCTTGGCAACGTCTGTGCAGCGCCTCCATCTAAACCGGGCCTAAGGAGCACAGGGACTGACCTCCTGCTGGGACTCAAAGGAGTCTTCCTGAAGATGTGAGATAGACTTCTACCATGACAATGATCAAATCCAGGTTGATAACAGTACTGAACAACTGAAAGATTGTACCTTTACTCTTTTTTAATATGGTCATATACACAAATCAATTCAATTAAAGTAAATGAGAGGAACTAAAGTTTACAGAATCAGGATGTGTTTTAATTGTACCTGTTTTGTCCTGAGTAAGAGCTTCCACTTTGTTTGCAGTGACAGAAGAGCTGGTCTGCAGACGCTCCAGTTCAGCTGCTTGAGCTGATTCAACACAGATAATGTGAGTCTGAACGCCTCCAAGTGTGAGGAACAATCACTTTTATAGGATAAAACCTTTGAAGTTGTTTTGCATGAGCTGCTGCTGCGTCAGGAGGGAACCCACTTCTGTCTTTGTGGCTGAAAGGAAAGTAAATTGCAATTTTTAAATTTTATTTGTATTTTTTCAAAAAGTTAAATAAAAAGCACTGTTTGCCATTTCTTCAAGTGAGTCCAGTCTTAACCTGAAGACTTGATCAAGTTGGTGGAGTCTGGTGTGTAAACCTGTAGCCACATTGCATTTTGACCCTGCTACAGCAGATTGTCATGGTGTAGATTTTAATTTTGTACTCTGGTTTTATTTGGCCACTTCCGGTGACCATGCGCGGCTGAGGTAAACCTGGCGGAGACCTTCCCACTATTACTTAAATTATCCCTTACTAAAATAACCTAGAGTTCAGATTGAATCTAAAATATCATACGAAGGGCCAACCTGCTGAAGGATGAATAACCCTAAGCCCAAGCAAACGCGGTCTGGGAAGCAAGCGGCATCTCACGAGGAGGAGGAAGTCTGCGAGACAGGTCACCTAACAATGCAACAGCTGATCATAGAACTAGACAAACAACGTCAATATCTTAAAGATGATTTGTCCACTATGATCAATGACTCTATCAGACCAGTGCAGTTGTCTGTGGACTCACTGAAGGAACAAGTGCAGGACTTCACTGTCAGATTGACCCATACAGAAGCACTTGCGGGTGAAAACTTCGAAAAACTCACCCAAGCTGAAGGAACCATTAAATCCTTGGAAGCACGGAATAAAATCCTCTTTGAGCGCGTCGATGACTTGGAGAATAGATCGCGCAGATCAAATCTGCAAATCATTAACATCCCGGAAGGAAGCGAACGCGGACGCGACCCGGTGGAATTCATGTCCGAGCTGCTGAAAGAATGCATGGGGCCAGACGTCTTCCCGCGGCCCCCGGTTCTGGGAGAGAGCCCACCGTACACCGGGTGGATCTCGCTCCGAGCACCAGCCGTCACCTCCGAGGACCTTTATGGTGTGTTTCCACTACTTCCAGGAGAAGGAGAAGGCTCTGCGCTGGGCTCGGGAGCATGAACTCAAATACAAGGGATGCACTTTGAGAGTTTACCCGGACCTAAGCGCTGCCCTCGCCAAGAAAAGAGCTGCATTCAACGCGATCAAGCACGAGTTGTATGAAAGAAAAATCATCTTTCACTTGCTTCATCCAGCAAGGCTCCGCGTGCGAGTTGGTGATGAGACGCGCGTCTTCGACACTCCAAAGGACGCTGAGACTTGGCTATCAGGCCACTCCAACAAGTAAGTGAGTGACATCTCATCTCTCGCGGAACGGACTTCAACACATCGGATAACTTCGTATTTTTGTCTTTTTTGATTACTATAGTGAACTGATAAAGACTCAATTGCACAAAGATATATTTAGCCTACAATATATTTTTCTGTAGGTTTTTTTCTGTTTTCTTTCTGTTTCTATATAAAGTATATATCTAAAAGAGGGGACTGAAAGGCCTTGGATGGTTAAGGGTGAATTCCCATGCCCAAGAGATTTGTGTTGTTATTGTACTTCCTTGGACAAGTATTCCCATGCCCAAGTGATTGTTGTTGTTGTTGTACTTCTTTGGCCAAGTGAAAATGATCTGATAAAATAAAATAAAACATTTTTTTACCACCTGTCAAAACTTTAGGTTATCACATACTCAAATGGGAGTCTCCATAAGGGAATAAGACTACTTCATTATTTTTCTCCTTTTAAGAACAACTTTTTTTGTTTGTTTATTATTATTATTATTTTTTTTTTTTTTTTACACAGTTACTTTTCCTATTGTCAATGTCTGTTGTGCATGTGTGTGTGTGTTTTGTGTGTGTATGTGAGAGATTGTGTGCGTGGCTGCTTGAATGTTGTTGTGTGTGTGGGTGTTTGTGGTATGTCTGGGGCCTTCACTCTGACCATGCATTCTCGCCCATCATTCAGGCTTTTGATACGTCACTAGATGTATAGTTCAGATAACGATACCTCATCTGATATTGAGGATGAAGATTTGAGCATGAACTCGCATAACTCTGATCAACGGATCAACTTCTCTGAAAATGTCAACTATAAATCACAAACCTACATGAATGAAATTGATCCAGACGGAAATGTCTTACTAAATTGCAACGAGTGTTTATTATTATTATTATTATTATTATTAACATTTTTTATTAAGAGGAATAACCCCTTGAGATGAAACATCTCGTTTTTCCGAGGGGGTCCTCAAAAACAGATTCAAAAATAACAGTACAGCAGCAACAGTCGTACCCGATTCCACCTTCGGGTAGATCACTGACTTCCTGACAGACAGGAAGCAGCGAGTCGTCTGGAAGAATGCTCGGACATCTCGATTATAAATACAGGAGCCCCACAGGGCTGTTTCTTTCTCCCCTGCTCATTCTCCCCGTACACCAACCACTGCACCTCCAGCCACGACTCGTGAAGCGATCAAGTTCGCGGACGACACCACCCACATAGGGACTCATCTCCAACAACGATGAGTCCGCCTAGCAGGAGGGAGGTGGACGGCTGGTGTCGCTGGTGCAATGGTAACAACCTGGAGCTGAACACTCAGAAACAGTGAGAATAATTGTGGACTTCATGGAAGAGCCCTGTCCCCCGCCCCCACCCCTCCGTGATGATCCCCCATCACTCTGTGGAGTCCCTATTGTTTCCGGGCACCACCATCACCCAGGCCCTCCAGATGGAACCGACCATCAAAAAAAATCTCCCGCATCAAGAAGCCCAGTAAGTGGATGTACTTCCTGGGCAGCTCAGAAAGTCCAGCTGCCCTGTCAGAGATGGCAAGGCAATTTTATTTTATATACTCACATACACTCCAATTCAAAGTGGCTAAGAAAGCATAAATCCTAAATAATTAGCAGAACATTAAAAAGAAATCTGAAACAGGCACTAATATAGATTTTTGGTCCACAGCGAGCCATGGAGACTGTTTTGACTGACTCTGTAAACAAGCCAGAGAGCTGGGACTTGTGTTCACAAGCAGAAGCTGGTTCATAAAGTCTATTCTTCATGCTAATATATTTTGGAAGCGAGGCCATGGAGAAGCCAAGCAGAGCTGTTTTAAAGCAAGCCTCTGAGCCCACAGGAAGCCCAGGCAGAGACCTGAGGACTGGACTAATGTGGTTGTATCCTGGTTCTAGTCAGGCCTCGAGCAGCTGCATTTTGAATGTACTGCAGCTGATTTTACAGCCTGTTTAGGGACAGACCTGTGAGGCAGGCCATGCAGTAATCTAACCATACTGGAGACATTCTTTCCTATTCTGTACTATCACTGGCATAACGTAACTCTTATATGCTACACACTATTATGTACAAACTGATGAAAATATGTTTATACCTTGTTCAGATGACAGTGAAACCTCCTACAGATTCAGCCCAGACTGCTGCTGCTGTGAGATGGCCTTCTCCTACGTCATCGCCGCCATTTTGGCGCCCCCTAGCGTTTTTATGCGGAAGTGAAAAGGTGCCACTTCAAATCAGTTTTTTAACATAATTCATCTGAACATGTCAAAATGAACACCCGAAATATTATAAACACATATTGTAGTTATATATTCTGGATAGCAGCATATTAAATTCTAGTCCTACTTTAAGCATCTGATAGAAGACGTCATGTCCCACCTGAAGTTGGAGCACTTAAGACACTCAGTACATGGTTCGATCCAAACATATTTTCAAACATGGAACCCATTCCTTACTTATTTTGAGTCAGAATCTAGTATTTAGTGTTTAGCCTTGTGTTCTATTGTATTTTATTGTATTCAATAATCATCTTGCTCATTGTGTCATTGATGTATGATGTTTGTGTTGAATTTTGTTTTTTGTTTTTTTGTAAATGAAATGTTATTGTATTCAACACCAAGTAAAGAAGTAACAGTTGGTAATAAAACAATTAAACAAAAGTAAATAAAAATTATTATTATTATTTTTTTCCCTTTACCTCCCGCATTCGGGACAGTGCATCCGTCATAACGTTGTCTCTGCCACGGATGTGCTTGATTAAAACATTAAATACTTGGAGGCGGAGCGACCAATGCATTAGACGCCGATTCTTATTCCGCATTCGGTCCGCATACGGATTGTTCTCCGTATAGACAAGCACCGGAACACTAGAGCCCCCCACATAGACCTCAAAGTGTTCCAGCGCCATGACTAAGGCCAACGCCTCCTTCTCAATGGTCGAATACCAGCGATGATACTTATCAAGCTTTTTCGAGAAATAAGAGACGGGATGTTCGACACCGTCAGTACCATCCTGCAGAAGAACAGCGCCCACCCCAGAATCACACGCGTCCACAGCGAGTTTGAAGGGTGCATCAAAACGTGGGGCTGCTAAGACAGGAGCATTCATTAACAAAGACTTTGTTTGCTCAAACGCAGATTGAGCAAACAATCCCGGACGAGCCCTCATAAATATGTCACGACCCGAAGGACAAAACATATTTTAAGACCACAGAGACAGGCTTAGAGTTCAAAAATAATGATTTTATTTATACATGTTCTTTTAACTGAACTCTAGTTTGTTATTATTAATTAATATGAATATTAAATCAAACCAACCCCGTGTCCAGAATACAAAAACCCAAAGTAATCAAATTAAAGGTGGACCTGGTGGGCCAGCCAAAACAAACAAAAATGGGCCGACACCGAACTAACCCTATACAGGGCCGTCCGGATCCGATGCCGGCACCCTAACTGAAGAATAAACAAAACCCAACTAGCTACACCCTCAAACGAAAATGTAACCACTGGACCCACCAGATCAAACAAAAATAAGGACAAGGAAAAAATGCTAACCAAATGGCTAAAGAAACAACCGAACCATGCGGCGTCTGGGGAGGCCGCAAACCAGGACTAGGAGGGAGCGCTCACCTCAGCAGGTGTTTGCAAAAGGCTGAGAGCAGAGAGAGGGGCGGGAGCACACCAGGACAGCGCCTCTTATACTCCCGACCCGAGCTGCAAAATATACAAAATAAGATACAAAAACGTTATCAAAAATGCAACCTATAAAATATACTTATACAAAACACAATCTTACAAAAATAACTATAAAACCCAAAAATACCTGGACAAAAAAAGATAAGATATAAAACCAAAGGGGGGGAAAAGGTGCCCAAACATAACACTAAACAAATGGGATTTTGGAAGTTTGTATTTTTCACCGATCTCATTAAAATTACCAAAAATGTTATTAATGTAAAGGTCTTTTACTCTGGTCAGACCAAGTTTGTGCCAGGTAGAATAGCCTCCATCTGAAATTGGCGGAAGAAAAGCATAGTTATTACAGATAAGACTATGAATAGACATGTCCTGGGAATGTAATGTGCGTCTGAATTGATACCAGATTTTTAATGTGGATGCAACCACTGGATTAGAGGTAAATTGACTGATGTTAACCGGCATTTTGGATGTAACTAATGCCATTAAAGAAGTGGAACAGGATTTTGCTTCTAGTTCACACAGACTTAATGTTTGATCCTGCATCCACATTAGTATTTGTGTGAAGTTGGCACTCCAATAATAATGTTTTAAGTTTGGGAGAGCTAAACCGCCTATTGAGGTATGTCTCTGTAAGTACTCTGCCTTTATCCTGGGTGTTTTGCCTTTCCACAAGAAAGAGGAGATAAACATATTTACAGTCTTAAAAAAGGAGTTTGGTAAGTGAATTGGTAAGCATGGAAAAATATATAAAAAAGTTGGTAATACATTCATTTTAATACAATTAACTCGACCAGCAAGGCTAATGTGTAGGTCATTCCATCTGTGCAGTAACTTTGTAACTTTATCTATTAGTAATGGGAAATTGTTTTTGTATAACTCAGCCATACTCTTGGAAATAAAGATCCCTAAATATTTGAATTTTTCTGAACATATTTTAAATGGAAGATGGTTTTGATCAACTTGTTTAGCATGCTCGTTCACAAGGAAACATTCACTTTTGCCAAAGTTTAATTTATATTCAGAAAAAGGGCCAGATGTATTCAGTAATTTAACAATATGTGGGATTACAGAAATAGGGTCA